TGGCGATTTGCTTTGGCCAAACTGAGTCTCAGCACCGAATATGGATTGGGCATTTGCTTTGGCCAAATTGACCTGTGATTATGTATCTGATGATGAATCCGCGACGGCTATCGAAACGTCAGGCGAATAAAAGTATTGTCCCAGCGATCGAGTCCTCTTATTCTCAATTACTTCCTGGGACTGGCATGTTCGCTTGTATTGGCAAGCCACAATGCTGTCGCTAGGTAAGATGTACGAGAAACGAAGAATCTTGCGAAAAATGTAGATATTGGCCTCATCCTCTCACCACCACCACCACCACCACCACCACCGCCACCACCAGCAAGCACCCGGGTTTACCCTTTGCGGTTGGACCTATTTCAATGAGTAGGGGACCATGGGACCGTTTAAGGGTTATATTTGGGTACAAACTCACGTGTGGTGCACCATTAGGGATACTGTCATGGGATAGCTCTATATCGAGGATGACAGTCGTCTTCTCCTACGTCAAAACATCAATATCTTCCGCACATTAGGTTAGAAACGAAGGATAACAAAACAGCGAAAACAAAATTTAAACGTATTTAAGTGGTGAAGCAACTTGTGGGCCATATTCTATTAGTAAAAAACGTCCTAATCACTGATATAGTGGCTCACGTAAGGTAATCCACACAGCTAGTTGGGCTAGAAGTGAGCCAGGTTCAGTACAAACACTATCAGTAAGGGGAATTTTGTTAGATTTCACTTGACACTAGGTAGTATCAGTGGGAATCTAACCCATTTAATTAAAAGGTCTCATAGACCTGCTTGTTAGAGCATTGGCTGTACAAAAGCCTGTTGCTTGCTGTTGAAGTTTCGAATTCCACCGAGTTTTTTACAATTGCGTCAAATAAACTATCCAAATCTGCCAAAAAAACCTACTAATTACATGTGCCTGGCAGTCATCTGGCGGATCCTAGACTGACTGCTGTTAAAATCCTGCTTTGGTACATTCAGCTTACAGTATCAGTAGGCTGGGCGGCTAATATGACCCAAACGTGATCAAACCCACGGCTCCCAAACGGAACATCGTAGCTCACGTGATAAGAGCGTTGACTCTATAGAAGCAGTCCCCTTGCCAATATAAGCGAATATGCGAATGCCAGGAAGCAATTGAGGAGTAGATGTGCCTGCTGGAGTGTTCTATAGGTTCTGATGCAGTTGCGGGCAAAGCAACTACGTCGGAGAAACTGGAAGACTTCACAAGACGCGAATTGTCAAACACGCGACGGCAGTGCAGAGAAACGACGCCTCTTCTTAAGTTGCGGCTCATTCGATGAAACCCGACCACACATTCAAATTTAATGAGGCCGAAATTCTCGCGAGGGGTAACAATCCTGTGAGTCGCGCGTTACTTTATTCATGGCCCCCGGTCGATAAGCAAGTGCAGCGACCTGCGCAATACATATTCGGTGGTGAGTCTTCATTTGGCCAAATAGGGAATGCACAGGCCAACATCAGAGAGCCAGACGGCCAAGCAGCCATCGCGTCCATTTCCACCATGTCTGATGAAAGTCCAGCAGGTCACGGCTCGCACGCTAAATCCCGCCAATATAAGGTCGAATTTCCCTCAATAGGCAACAGTTGATGGACTTGATTCTATTTAGTAGATTGATGAGTCTTACCAGCCGGTGGTAAACGCTCTACGGGTGTCTTACAAATCAGCTCGGATGAAGTTTATGACGCAAGTAAGCTCATATTCCCAGTTGTTATGCTTGTTACAAACATAGTGTGCATTTCAGTTACTGATACAATTATGGGAATATACTACTAGAATATACCATCCGCTTGTCTTAGTAAGTACGATTAATAGAATTAGCACTCTTAGCAGTGGCATATTACCTCCAGCAACAGTATCCTAGTCCAAACTTCGTAAAATGTGACAGCAGCACTTAAGTTGCTTTATTAACTACACATAATTTTAATCTAGCTCACCTTAAAATCTAGCTGGCTGCAACTGCATTACTCAGTTTAGACAAAAATGTACCTCCTAGTTCACGCACTCGAGTCTCTTCGTTTAGATTTGCTTAACTTTGATAGTGTAGTCTAGTCCTCTAGGCCTAGTTTAAGCTTTTAGCCTATAGCAGTCTCAGCAACACCGTTGTCCACTAGTTTCTTTAATTTAATATTTTTGATCACTTCCATCACAATTAAAAATTCATTTGCATTCGCTAACCAAGGATTAAATATCTAACTACAAATTACGTAAGACATGTGGACGGAAGAATAGATATTTAGGCGGCCCTACAAGACAGTTTTGCCAAATACCGCAACTCCCTGTGCATTAATTACCCCTTTCTGCTATTGTCTCTGATGAAGGATGCGCGACGGATTTTGAAAGTTCGGGCGAGAAGAAGTCTTATCCCAGCGATCACATCTACTTCTTCTAAACATTATCCTTGCGGCTGTGGGTTTTTAGTCCACGGCATAGTCTATGGTGACAAGCATGGCGAAGAGGCCAACAAGGAGACAAGAAGGGACAAACCTGTCCACTGCGAATGCAGGTGCCAAAACTGTTGGATGGTAGACGGAAGCGAGGATCAGTGAGAAACTGAGGAAGGGCATTCCGGGCACGCAGGCTGGCGATGGATTCGCGGACTGTGATGTTTCTGTACTGGCCTTTATGTTCGTCCGAGAGGCTGGCTGAGTTCTCGTCCCCGTCCTCGGCTGATTGGGATTCCTCGTAGGGTTGTGAAAGCCTTAAAACTGCAAGGCATGCATACAGTCATTAAAATTAATATGCGCGAACGAAATGACGGAAACTGACTTTATCCGGTTTAGGCCTCTGAAACGTCCGCCTTAATCGTCTAGCCAGTTCCAGGGAGCGTACTTTTTGCGTGTTAAATATGTTTTAATGTACTGCACTCGTCAGCTTATTTGTAATCTGAAGCAGAAATCTGCGTAAGCATATCCTCCGACAATTTATTTTCGTTAATAAATGTTCTAAATGCTGTTTGCGCATTTGGCTTGTCGGTTTTTGGAGGCAAGCAATTTAACCAATTGTAGCACTTTTTACCAACTTAGACATGTTATCGATTTCAAATGTTGGATTTGCAAATCTGTATTTTCTTATCCGAAATACATTTTAAAAATATTTTATAAACAGATGCCTATGCTGTCCTGTTAAGCGCTCGCGCTTTTGATGCTTAGGTTTTTTTCTGATCACCGAAATAGTGGCTTTAGTACTTATTTTGCGCTTACTTCTACTTTGATGTCGATTACTGCTAGCTTGGTGTTTGAGTTGATGCATTCCCACTGGCCTCAGGATGATAAGTGATTTTGGTTAATTTTAATATATATTCTACAGTCTGAGACCATCTTAGGCCTTACTAGTGAGCACACTGCTCAAGTACCATTTTGACAGAGATTTTTTTCAGTTTCTGATGTGACTGAACTAGATTGGGAGTAGGCTGTACGACAATCAATAGGACAGCCCTGTCTACGTAATTCGTTCGAATCTAAAAAATATTTCGGAATTTCGGTAGACATTTCAAGAGCTCTAGGAATCTACTACATGATCAGGACCACATATCAATCTGCAATGGCTCTCTCTTTCTTTATTTCTCTCTTTCTCTATCTCTGCAGAATTGCCTCTTAGGATACGCTTATTTGTGGGCTCGAAGACCGGCTTTGGGAGTCATGCACTTTTTGCCAATACAAGTGAAAATGAAGAAGAAAATGTGATCACAGGGACAATAATTTTATTCGTCTGATGTTTCGAAATCCATCGCGTAGCCACCATGAGAGACAATAACAGAAACTGACGCAGAGGGAAAGTACAGGAGAACACGCCATCTAACACCAGCGCGACGGATTTCAAAACGTCCGGCGAATAAACGTATTGTACCAGCGATCACTTCTGCTTTTTCTGGTGCACTTCTTTATCAGCCAAGGCACCGTGCCGCTCCTACTCGTATGTATGAGGTTTACCCTCACACACACAAAACTATGCAAACATCAACCAGCGAAAACAAAAAAATACCTTGAGAGTGGTTTCTGATACCGGCATAAAGACGTTCAAGAAGGGGCCGTCGACGCGTAACTGAATTACCGGCTGAATCGGCTGCAGACTCCTCGTATGAACTGCGTGGACGAAGATTCCGCTTTGCTGAGGCTGCTCGATTCAAATGCGCCACCTCCGAGGGACCATAGGAACGCGAAGGTACTGGCGGACCTACAAGCAGGATAAGGTAGTGAAATTAAGCACGCGTGTTTCAAATCTGACCACCATTTTCGGCCTCCGAGGAAATTAGATT